TGTTTGTTTGTTTGTTTATTGCTTTCAGCTTTTCTGTTTGTTTGTTTGTTTGTTTATTGCTTTCAGCTCTTCTGCTTGTTTGTTTGTTTATTGCTTTCAGCTCTTCTGCTTGTTTGTTTGTTTATTGCTTTCAGCTTTTCTGTTTGTTTGTTTGTTTGTTTGTTTGTTTATTGCTTTCAGCTCTTCTGCTTGTTTGTTTATTGCTTTTAGGCTCTTCTATTGGTTTTTGTTTGTTTATTGCTTACAGCTCTTCTGCTTGTTTGTTTATTGCTTACAGCTCTTCTGCTTGTTTGTTTATTGCTTACAGCTCTTCTGCTTGTTTGTTTGTTTATTGCTTACAGCTCTTCTGCTTGTTTGTTTGTTTATTGCTTTCAGCTTTTCTGTTTGTTTGTTTGTTTGTTTATTGCTTTCAGCTCTTCTGTTTGTTTGTTTACTTGTGTACTAGTATGTTTACTGGTTTGTTTACTGTTTCAGTTCAATTCAATTGAAGAATACTTTATTAATCCCAAAGGGAAATTAAATGTTTGTGTAGCTCTTCTTGGTTTCAGTAGAGTTGTTGTAGATGCTGATGGCTTTGGGCAGGAAGGATCTCTTGTAGCAATCCATACCACAGTGGATCCAAAGAAACCGGCTGCAGATGCCAATCTGTCCGCCCAGACCCAGCAGACCTCTCAGTCCTCTTGGACAGCAGCACCGACTGAATGCCGGGCAGAACTCTTCCCTGAGCGATGGCAATTTGTCCCAGCACCCTTCTGAGCCCCCTGTTGCCACGGACTTAACTGCAGGTGCCGGGGGACGGTCTCAGTCCTCCCGCTGTCACGAGCCACATTTCCCGCTACCTCCAAGATCTCAGAGGTCAGGCACTCAAGCACCGCCTCCATGTAGATGGTAATACATCTGCAGCTCCTCCTTTTCAACTCATTTGGGATTTCGGTCTGCAGTTGAGGCATTATTTGAGCTTTTGAGATGTTAATCAGCAGCTCCCAGTTGTAGAAAACCACCTTGTTGTTATGGTTAAGCATTCTAACCAATGTCCAAAAGTAAAAAAAATTTCAGTAAAAATCCTTCCAGCCGCACAACATCTGATATTAGAGAAAGGAATCATCTGAAAAAAACAATTTACATCCAGAAATAAGAGTGAGTAAAGTTTTCAAAGGCAAAATCTCATTAAGAGAGCTTCTCCAACAATTCTGGTTTATCACTGTCCTTGTTTTGTTCTTGATTTAATTACGAGTTAGGCAGCACGGTGGTGCAGTTGGTAGAGCTGCTGCCTTTCCGTGAGCAGGTCACTGTTCAAATCTTGGTCCAGGGGTCTTTCACAGTGGAGTCTGCATGTTCTCTCCGTGCATGCGTGGGTTTTCTCCGGGTGCTCCGGTTTCCTCCCACAGACCAAAAACATGCATGTTAGACTGATGGTAACTCTAAATTGTCCCTAGGTGAGAGAGAGAGAGTGAATGGTTGTTTGTCTCCATGTGTCCCTGTGTTGGACTGGAGACTTGTCCAGGTGTCTCTGGGATAGAGTTGCAATTTCTGACCCAAGCATGTGCCTGACCTGACCCAAATTTTGGGCCGGGTAGGGTCAAAATGATGTGCTTGATGGGCGGGCCAGGTCGGTCTCAGGCTTTTGATGTGGTTTTTATGAATCATACAGCACAAATAAAAGTAAATAAGAATGCACAATATAAAATGGGGTTAATCGACTTGTTGAGGGAGAGGCACTAAGTTTATATGTTGAGGAAAGAAAGAAAATAGAGTGCAGCAGTTAATCTGTGAAGAGAGGGAGTAGCGCTGATGCATTGCGCAACAATTGCCCATGCGGCCCCACCCGCCCTGCTTTTATCACATCTCAGGATTTGTAGTGGACCCACAAAAACGGGAGAACTCCCTCTACAAAGCCTGCACAGTGAAACCTGCTGATGTGTATCAGGTGCAGGCTCAGGTCCGAGCGGCCGGTTGAAAGAGGTAAAACAAAGTCCCGTTAAGTTTCAGATGGATCACTGGATCATCGGCCGTGCGTCCCACTCTGCATCTTGCTCTTTTCTGCGGTGAAGGACGTTACAGCACCTGAAGCTACAAAAGTCGAAGCGAGCAGCGTGTTCAATTAAAATAGCCTGTTTCTATATTTTTCCAAATAATTGCTCTAAAATTATTTTTGTTCATGTGTATAACAGCCGATGTTTAGAGTTGAATATTTAGGCTATTTGTTTTGTATGTTAATATCCATTTGGTGAAACAATTACAAAAGAAGTTTTGTTTATTTTTTCCAAGTTCGGGCCTTTAATTACAGTTAATTAGTCGGGTTAGGGCAGGCTCGGACAAAAAACCTATGGGCTCGGGCCGGATCAGATTTTTTTTTAGGAACGAATGCATCTCTACTCTGTGGTGGACTGAGACCTGTCCAGGTGTCTCTGTGGTGGACTGA